GTTCAACATGCCCGTTTTATATATAAAATGTGCATTACTTGGCCCTTAAGATGATCCATTAACGTGACATGAAGTGAAAGATTAAATTTTATAAAGATTTTACATCTAAAGGGATCGAAAGCGCTGCATGCAAAAACTTTATCGAAAAAGTGAGAAAAGTGCTCGTGGACGAAGAAAAAACAAAACGTGACATCCACAAAACTTGAAATGAGAAAAACGTGAGGTTAAGTGATTTGTTATTGGACGGTGACTTCAATTGAATCACAAGTTTGAAGCACTCTAGACCCATGCAAACAAGCGCCCATCCAAAGAAGTTCCACGTAAATGGACCTTCATACCGTGCCACAAAGTTCCGTAGAACAGAGGTTCAGTATGAATCTAGAAGTTGTTACTTCATTGTCCATTCTACAAGGTCACGGCTGTTTAAGATGACTAGCGCTTATCACTGTTACTGTTACTGAGGCTGGGATACCGCAGCTTCTCGCTCAGTCACGTCTTTGTATGTACGTGCTGCACGGAACTTCGTAGAAGAATAAGAATATACTAAAGCAAGTAATTCTCTTTCAGATTCTTGTGAAGTGTTAGGAAATATGGGTATCACTCGAGGTATATCTACGTTGCAACGTAGATACATTTCTCTATTTCGAGATCGATTTTTAACAACGTAACGTGTAGTTGCGTTGTCGAAATTTCGACATTTTTCGAAATTCATGATCGTCGTAAAATTGGCAGTTGTCATAGGTACTCATACAGGTTTAACGCGGATAAGAGCAATTCAGAAACTGGTGTTGGCTGTCCGCTGGACGAATTCTCATACGAATCTTGAAGCCTATTTATCAATCTTTCAAGCTCACTCAGAAAGCAAGCAAAATTTCTAGCTTTATCAAATAAATTGTATTTGTACGTACACAGATTGATTTTTAGTTAGTGGCCGTATGACGCCTAATTCGAGCCAGTAGTACAAAGGTGCTACTATGGTGCGGAAACGTTCCATCGTAGAGACGTATTTTTCGCTGAAGTCAACTAATATATGTATTACATATCTATTATAGGTATAACTATAAAAGTTTATAATAAATAACAAAGTAACTTTAGTGAAATTAAAATAAGCGGCTTTAGTAACACCAAAAGGCTGGTGTTATCCGTTTCTTGGCGTTCATCCTTACATTGACAGCTGGTTCAATTACCTTTAGCTAGAAAGGACTTAGCTTGTATGACATTAGGTAACAGCATTGAGTTACCAGATAAATCTTAAGCTGACGCTCCTTGGCCTTCCAAGCTAAGAGCGAACAGCCCTTCATTGTAGCTGACTCCGTTTTTAAATTATCCGCTCGCAAGTAATCTCTGTGTTTATTCTAAGCGACTGTATTCTAAAAAAGCTATAGAAATTTGTCATGGCCATTTGAAACATAGCTCCAGATCCATTAATTATCCATAATTATATCCATAATCCATAATTATAAATATATTAATTTCACTGTGCATTGTACAAAGTACGTTTATAACTAGAGAACAAATACACGAACGACGCGCCGACGAAACCTTTTCCATCCCTCATCTACACTAATCATCTATAGATGACTCCAGTCCGAAAGTAACTTGAGCAACCTTTAACCTTCGCAACTTATCCCATTTCGCCCTATACTTTCAAGCCTAACACACCTTTTTCTTCCAAACCATTACGTCGGTGCTACAGAGCGGTCGAATAATGTAATAGAAGAATTGCGTATCTCTTAGAAAACACAAAGCGGGAATATTGTGAAAATGGTCACTATTAAGTCACAGTAATTTCTGATAGCGTTTGTCCACATCGACTCAAATGCTTTGGAAATAAACATTTCTATTTGGGTCACAAACGGTCACAAAAGGGAAGTAACCATTAAATTGCCGGCTCTATTACGAAAACTTAATATAGTTCATTTCACAGCCCTACGCACACCAGAGGATAATGGTACCGCTGTTACCATGAACGCCAGGCAATGTAAGACCTAAAACTCGTTGAGTGGCATTGCCAATTGCTTCCTGTATGGTCATCTGTGCTAACGTGGCAAAAAGTAAGGTAAGTATTGGACAAGGTTGATATTGAGTGTGAGAAAATGTTTTTGGGTGCGAAAGGATAGCTTAAGTTCCAGGTAAGCTGCGACAGAAACTTCTCCGATCCTATAAGTTTCGAATTACATTAAAACAGTAAATGTGGACTGCGATTCCGCCAGACAAATCGGTGGTTACCAAAACTGGCAATGTATAGGCCTCGGGGAGTAACGCCGAAGGAAGACAACGCAAAACTCCACGAGGCTTCGATGATCCAAAAAGTTTAGGTAGATCCTCGACTAGTTTTTTTTATGCTTGGTTTAAAGCCCGGGGTCCAACTACTGTATGAACAACTACGCGGATAATATGTGTAGTAAACATAGAGCCCTGGGAAAAAAAAGCCATTTATAACAAAAGGCAGAGAGATGAAAATGACTTGCAGACGATCATGTCCACCAAAACAGCCTTTACTACTCAACGAATGCTTATTGCGCCAGCGGTGAAGGAAGACCACGGAAAGCATACTAATAAAAGCAGGCTAGATTGTCTCTTCTTGAGGTTACTCAAACCAAAACAGAAAGGTAGGCTAAATACAACTTTTGTTCTAACAAATCGGCGTTCTATTTTCGATCTCGACATTTGCGTTCGATGAGTAAGCTACTCGGCAATTCCTAACGCGCCATGAACAAAATGGCAGGCGCCACCGTAGGAAGGCCTCAGCAAGACAGCGAACCGCTGAGTCATAGAAGGCTGAGTGAGGGCAATCACAATATGGCAAAGCCTACAACGACGTTTTTGCGTATCTATCTCAAAGCGACAATGCGTGCAGGTCTCAAATGTTACGACTTTTACTTCGGCCGCTGCTATCACTGTTGGTATTCTTTACAGAGTGACGGCGCCGTAGCGCTACATTGCCTGACCAGCAGCGGCTTATGGAGGCCAGACTAATGCTAAGTTTTCTGCATCGTGTGAAACACTCGCCTGTGTAGCTGACCGAGCTTGACGACGGAGTACAGATTTTGTTTACTGTATTTGCTATTTAACGAAAATTACGCCTTCATCTACTCTATCATTCAAACGGAACTAAGTCAGCCATTACTGCTGGTTGGCATGAGCCTTTCTCAAAGCCATTGCAAGTAGAGCTCATACCGTAACAGGCCGTGACAGGCCGAAAGAGAACAAACGGGGATAGCGAGGATAAACCTGTTCAAGGTTGTTATAGCTGCAAAATTTGTCCTAGGATTGTGTCGACCTAGTACTACAAAAGAGGTTCATAAATTTTCAACTGAAAGAACGTTGTTGCCATTAATCGATAAGAACGATCAATCATAAAACGAAACAGACACAAAGAGGCAGAAGTGGGAATCTCAACTAACGACAGTTAACCGAATTCGGCCATCTTCAGTATTTCAATCGCTAACATCTAATTATCTATTAATAACCATATATGCATGCAGTGACAGCCACCATTACGTTGCTCTGACCAGCTTCTCACTTGACGCCTGTCAATCATGTATCATTTGGCTGCATTATTCCATTTGAATAGTGGCTTTCGTCCATTGAACCGCAATAGAGTAGAAAGAGGCTACATTAACATCTATGCTTAGTATTCTCGACATTATCGGCAGTTAATTTGGTATCACTAGTGGAGCAGTAGGGCCGGCTGCTGACGCTCGTGCGAGAGATACGAGGCTAGGAAAAGTAGTGGTGAACGATGTATCAGCTAAGGGCGATCTTTTCGTAAAGAGGGAAGGGCTGTCTGAGGAAACAACAGGAGATTTAAGAGACAAAGGAAAAAAACAGAAAGCAAAGACAACAACAGGGTCGAAAACGCAAACGGGAAAGCCGAAAAGATCCGTCCTTAGACCCTTCGTCGATATATAAGATCAGCTTAGATGATGGCTCAATCGGACTACGATGATTTGCATTAGAGAGATATCGGCGACTGGCAAACAACTGTGAGCTATCCTTTGTTAGGAATGAAGACTACGCTGACAGTCAGCAGCAGCGGCGGCAGCAATGCAACGTTGGGTTCTCGACGGCAATACCGCATCAGTGTCTGAAGATCGGCTGAAGTGTGTCCATCCCATTGGGTCTGGTGGCAGGCCACAGCGAACGCGCTTCCCGGCATCTTGGCAATCCCCATCACGACCGTCATCGACAGCAGCTGCTTCAAAAACAACAACAACATTGATATCATCATCATCATCAACATCAGCATCATCGTGGCGATCGTCAACATCGACGTAGCCAACGCTAGCGCTTCGCTGCTGAGAAGGCCAACAGTGGCACTCACGGGAAGCCTAACATGGCACTAGTGCTATTCCGTATCCGCCCAAACGTACATAGACAGGCCAACAAACTGACACGCACGTTCGCCGTTCACTCACAACAGAAAGTCGCGCGGCGGCTGCATGACGAGTGGCGCCTGATGCCATAGGCGCTGCTGGCGCCGCTACCAAGTCGCTTAACGAACGGACTGCCGGCCGGTCAAGCAGTCGTCAATGGCGCGCGACAGTGGCTCCCTCTCCACCACACCGTGTCCGGGTTGTTGTGACTGCCGCTACTCCAGTGTGGGTTATATACGCGGCCGCTAAGGGTAGCTGCTGCCTTCACGCGGCTGAGGACTGACTACTTCTCGCCGGCGGATGGTTGCATGGTGAATGCGTGTAGTCGCCGTGTCAGCTGTGTTGTCTCCGCCAGCTATCGCTGCTATCAGTGGCCGTTCGAGCAGCAGCAGTAACGACGACAGCGACTTCGCTTAGTCGTCGCCGAGGAGCGAGCAAAGCTACTCAAGAACAGCAAAAGCCAATCGAACAGACCCCAAACGTCAGTCAGCGAGTGACTGCTGCCGAAGAAGCACTGCTATTCCGATGGCAGCTGTACAAATTCGTGTGGATGTAATGAGAGTTGGAATAGAAAAAAGGTCGAGTGAAGAACGGATTTATAATGCAGCTAACCTAGAAGACCACGAGTAAGTAGGAGCGAGTCAGAAATAGAAGTGTTAGAAACCGTTCATGTGTCAGGTAGCCAAAAATAGGCCCAAAAAATTAAGAAAAAAAGCAACATAACCCAGAAAAGCGGAGAATTTTTTTGTGGTGAGCTTACAGCGCAGGTGAGCTAGGAGTACTACATTCTGATGTGGTTCGCTGTAGCACTATTAATCGTACAACAGATGTGACTGTTTTTGAGTGAATTAATGCCTGAAGTGCATAGTCTGCTGTCTCGAGAGCTTCAATATTACAGAAACGGGTAATTCCGAATGGGTGAGGCAATACCGACAGGCGGATCAATCGGTTCGGATTAGGTCTGGACGGATAGCAGTTAGTTCAAAAAACGGCTCGTTCAGGACACACGGTACGAAGGAACGGGACGACGCAATAGCGGCAGAGTAGCGATCTTCGGTGTTCGCGTCTTTAAAAGCAAGACGACGCCCGAGGCAGAACGTCGCCTTCCTCAACCGTAGTGGCGCCGCTGGTAATTCTGTTGTATCGGCTGCGTTATTGAAATTTTTCATCTGCGAGAGCTACAGCAGAACAACAACGAAGTAAAAAAAAAACTGTTGGGCACGACGGCTTTGAAGACTGCTGATCTTAGGCACGAACCATTCTTTCTCAGTGGCTGTGAGCTGAAGCTAAACGAACTCCAGTACTATCGCTTATCAGTATGCTAACTAGCGCTTAATAGTTATTGCTAGTATTTAACAACCTCTTATCAGGAGCAGGAGGCGACTACAAAATAGTCAACGTTCATGCTCTGGCTAATTCTCTCTTCGGAAGAAAAGTCGCATAACGACAAAAGCTGACATTTTCTAGACAATAACGGTCGGCGGCGTGGCAACTCCTAACCGCAAAGAAAGGATACGGGTAGGCCAACATCGAAGGATCATCGTAAGGTATAGGACAGATTAGCTGATGCTGTCGTATAATGATTGTCAACAGTGGTAATAGCACTACAGCCAATCGTTACCACGAAAATTAGCGATGAGAGCGAACGAGCAAGTTGCGTCGCGTTGACGAAACAAATACAGTGAAAGGAATAGGTTAGAGTCGTAAGGAATGGAGCTCGATTAAGGCTGTCGTCAATACTACCCCACGACGATAGATTAACAGGTTCGACCGACAACTTTGCTTGATTTGTAGTAAAAGGCCCGATTGACATAGGGTAAGTGCGTATCTGTGTACGTGCTTTCGTTTGCATCGGTAGTGACCATGTGGCGTAATGAACGACTGTTTCGGTGAACTATCCTCACCGGGTTGTTCGACGAACCCCGTGCCGGTGTCCCTTGCACTAATCGTTCCTGTTTAACTGCATTCTAAATATCATTAGAAGCATCAGAACAAATAGCCAGTCAGTTATATTCGAACAGTGTCTCCAATTAGGCGTTCCGCACTGACGCATAAACAGCGATCAACACGGAAAAGAAATTCGTTATAGAATTGAACGCAAAAAACTTAGGATTTTTTTTGCCCATAACGTCACCATAGTCTTCGCTACTCTCGTACGATTCTTCGCTCCGTTTAGCGTTCGACTGATTCTCGCTGATCTGTCCGAGTCTGCCGTGGTGTCTGCGGTCACTCCTATGTATCTTTATCGTATGCATTTCAACGACACGATAAGCGAAGGGACGAACGCGCTAGGAAATTTCAGTGGACGCTCATTGCGGGCGCGTATGGAGCAATTTTTTTTTGAGGAGAAATAGCGAATTCGAGGGACAGGTAACGACAAGAAACGATTGTTACGCATGGAGCGATTCAACAAGTTGTGACAGCGTTGAAACGCGGAGAAAAACACCGAACCGCAGCTTTTGATCTTTGCTTGATTTATCCATTGGTTCCTAATTCACTTCGCTCTACCTGAGTTAGCTCGGCAAGCAGCGAAACGCCAGTGTCATCTCTGTGTGGAGCAGTAATCTCGGCTTTGGAGTGCGCGTGCCCAGGGCGGAGTTGCGATAGTCTGTACATTTGTGCTATTTCGCTCACCATTGATTCTTGTCTGTGTATTCAACCGAAATATCGAAGTGTTTGAGGTGCTGTGCAAGCTAGGAGTTGCCGAGGTCAGCTATTAGACTCGGCCACAACGATCGGTAGCTCTGGATTACTATAACAATAACATTAATAGCAGTGGCCGCGCCAGAAGCGGCCAGGAGTAGTAGGAGTTTCTTGGATTTGTTTCGAAGGAGCGGCCGAAGACGAGACACAGCGAGCAAACGGTAGTAGTTCGTCCAGTCGCCTTACTGCCCTGTGCTCTCCTCTAGCTACGACGACAACAACGCCAGAAAGTATATGCTCGAAAGGTGTTGGTCTGCCTGCCGGCTCTTATGTGTGTAGTCTACAGGAGCATATCGTTGTGAACGTACGCGCTAGCGGACATCGTATCATATGCTACCTAATAGCAGGCAGTAGACAAGTATAGTTTTTACATTCTAATACAACACACTGTAATTGAGGAGGCAGATTTTAGCGCGCAACAGGGACCGTGGCGGTCGCGCTGCTGATACTGTTATGGTCACGTTCTATTGAAGGCTAAAGCAAACATAGTACTGAATGAACCACCGGTTGTCTATACGTGATCACGGATGTGCGTAAGTAACCAAAAGCCTGAGCAGGAGGGACTACCTATGTGTGTACTGATAAAGCTGAATGCGCTGTACATTTGTAGATGACTTCGTCGATGTACACCGCTAAACGATTGGACAGTGTGTAATAAATACAGTTGGTGTTTTTTGAAGTAGAAACGAACAAATAGAAAAAGGTGTGAAAACTGTTGGATTTTCGAAAACATTGAAGGGTCGCCACCGCCGCCGTGCTTGCGAAATATATAGACGACATTCAAAATGTTCCGTTACTTAAGCAGACGGTGGGGTGGAAGGCATTCACACTCCAGCACCGGCACTAATGGTCATAATTCGTCGAAGCGTTGTCTCCCATGCAAGATTGTCATGCTGGACGGCTCAGACCTCACTATCGAGCTGCCTCGAAAAGCGCTTGGTGCTGAGCTATTTGAGCAAGTCTTCTACAATATCGATCTCATCGAAAAAGACTATTTTGGCCTTCAGTTCACGGACGCTTTCCACGTACAGCATTGGTTAGACCCAACGAAACAGGTGCGAAAACAAGTAAAAATAGGTCCGCCGTATACGCTTCGGCTGAAAGTGAAATTCTACTCGTCAGAACCGAACCTCCTTCGTGAGGAGTTGACCCGTTATCTATTTTTTCTCCAGCTCAAGCAAGATGTGCTTAACGGAAAGCTACCCTGCCCTCACGAGACCAATGTAGAACTGAGTGCTCTTTCACTGCAGTCAGAGCTGGGTGATTTTGACCCCACCGAGCATACACTTGAGTTAATCTCTGAATTCCGCTTCTGTCCTGAACAAACTGAAGAGATGGAGATAGATATCCTTGAAGCATATCAGCGACTACGTGGACAGAGTTCTGCACAGGCGGAACTTAATTACCTTAACAAGGCCAAATGGCTAGAGATGTACGGCGTCGATATGCATACCGTGCTCGGTAAAGACGGTCGAGACTACAGTCTTGGCCTAACGCCAACTGGCATTCTTGTATTTGAGGAGCAGACAAAGATTGGGTTGTTTTTCTGGCCGAAAATCACGAAGTTGGATTTCCGTAACAAAAAGCTCACACTCGTCGTGGTCGAAGACGACGACGACGGCTGTGAACGTGAGCATACGTTCGTATTTCGGCTGTACAACCCAAAGGCAGCGAAGCATTTATGGAAATGCGCTGTTGAGCACCACTCGTTCTTCCGCCTCAAAGCGCCGCCAGATCACCAGCGAAACCTCAAACAGAATCTATTTCGAATGGGGTCGAGATTCCGTTACTCGGGACGAACCGAGTTCCAGGCAATTTCGAGAAACCGGACCCGCCGAACGGTCCAGTTCGAGCGACGTCCCTCACAGCGTTATTCACGGCGACAGTCTGCGCGCAGGCCAAAAACTAATAATAACGAATCACCGCAGCAAAACGGTAATCATATAACAACAACGACAAATCAGCATGGTGCAGCGACGACGTCAGGAAGCTTGGAGCCAAAAACGGCCTTGTCAAGATCACGAGTGGCGATACCGGAAACTGCTACAATCGCACCGGGCCGCTTCTCAACTAAGAGCGTTAGTGGTCCCAAACCGTGCGCCGTGCCAACTGTCGGCTATGCAAACAGCAGCAGCGCTGGCAGTGCGGAACAGTCTTCTACATCGACAAAGGTCGTTAACGATGCTGAGGATCGACTGGACACTCTTATTAAGTCGATCAGCAAAGCCGTCAACCACAACAATCTGAGTAACAAAAATGAGTTCAATGGCGAGAATAATCACCAACAGCATCTGTCGAAGGCTCTTCCATATGATGTTCGGCCAGCAGATGCTCTCGTCGATGACATTGATAGCCTGAAGAGCCCTGCAACAAAGCCTGAGTGTTCAAGAAGCGCGAAAACGTCCTCAACGACGGTTGTGACAACATCGAACAGCGTTCTCGTCAGTGAGCCGGTACGAAACAATTTGAAGTTTGTTGACAAACCGAAGTTCTCGCTGACTCCGCACGTCAAGAACAACATAGCCCGTGAGCGCCAACAGGATAAATTTAAAACAGTCATTTTGTGCAATCCCGATGGCAGTCCCGCACATACAACACCTGTTCCTGTCATCGAGACGACTTCCACTATTATTACTGCTGTAACGGCCAACTCTGGTGACCCCGTGAAAGAGGAGAACACTGCGCCCCTGATTATACTTCATGACCCACAACCTGAGCTCACACTATTAGAAGTTGGCCCTGAAGACTCGGTTGGAGGTCTTTTACCACCGCCGGACATCACGCCTGTACCAGTCGACGAGATCAAGAAGGTGTTCGAGGTTGCTGCCGAAGTGCACGACGTTCTTCGTCTCAACGAAGTCAACAGTGGCGAAGTGCGGCGATCAGTGAGTTCGGCGAGCAATAAAAACAGCAGTAGCACGAGCCCGGACGATGATGGTGATAGTGGAGTCGGCAGCGGTATCTTGAAGAAGGACAAAGAACGTCGCATGTCATCGTGTTCAACCGAAGAAGAGATCTCGCCGTGGCACGTTGGCACTATGAACGGTCGGTGTAGTTCTGGTGAAGACGAAATTCGCATTGATAGTAGAATTGTGCGGAAACGTACCATGATCACGACAGAACTCTGATTCGTTGGAAATCGAACTGAGACGAATAGATAAGAGTTCTCGCTTCTTAATGTTGCTACTGACAAACTTTGTCAATGGGGTCATGACTCACAACGATTGCATCAAGAGTTCAAGAAACCGGCGTTATAATCCCACCTGATCAAATTTGTACAGTACATAGTAAATATTAAACAGAAAGCAGAAAGACAACAAGTTCTTTTACTTAAGTGATATAGATTTTCATAAGTTGATATAGAATAAAATATCAGTATATTACATATCATCCATACTATGCAAAAACGAACGAAATCTTATATAACGACAATATACCGAGTACCAAGTGGAATTGTGATAAAACTAATGAAACACAGAATAGAGATACTAACTATATTTTCATTTTAATCTTTCCTAATTTCTTCGACTCGCTGTTCGCCTTCCTGTATCTGCGCGAGCGACATCGTCGCCAAGCTCTCACTTCGCCAGTAGACTTTATGCTATTAGCAAGCCGCTTTAGAGGAATCGTCGATAATTGGGTTAATTACATGACACTTCTACGCAATTTCCAGCTGTTGTTGCAGTTTTCCAATTGTTCGACTCATCTCCTTGCAGTTCTTCATGAAGCCGCATAAGCGTCGCTGGCCACTTCTGTTTCTGGTTAGTTCGTGTCGCGCCATCAGCCTTTGCTCTGGCAATGTTTCGTACAGATATATTCTAGTATCGTAGTGAATTCCACTATGGGAACGGCGTCCCATTGCAACAGCAATCGTTCCTATCCCGTTGTATCCTATGCGCGTTCCATGAAGACACACGAAGTTTTGATTTTTTCTAGCTAAGTACGCATAGATCAGATTGTAAAGGGCAGGTGTAGGCTATATCAGGTACATGGGGCGGGGATGCAGGCTGAAAAACTGAACAAAAAAAATAGAAGAACGGCTGCTGGCCATTGTTTCCATTACGTTGTTACGAAATCACACCATCAATAGCAGATGGGACTATAGTTGCCCATCTTCTTCGCTACCAGTAAAACGAAAATATACGCAACGTCGTGTATCTAACGTACGTGCTAGATGATTTGGTAACTCGTGCAGACGACAGACAAGCGAGGTGGACAAAAGACAGCTTCGAAGTATTTTGAAATGCAACCTTCATCAAGGTTGTCTTCGCTTGGGGGTGTGCTATAAATGTTACCCGTCGAATTTTAAAATCGCTGTAAGCTTAACTTGATGGTGCTTTTGCTTAAACCGCTCAGCTAACGTCCAACTGGTTTTGTCGTGATTTTGATGACGAAGTTGATTCATCCATAGTGCATTTCGATTAATCGAAAAAGGCGTTCACGATGGTGCCGGTATACTGTTTACTGGAAGGGGCTCAAAGTCATCGATCTGAGTGTGGCCGTACGCTGTACATGATTAATACGCATTGCTGAACGATGCATACGACTGTGGAGGAGTCGACTTTCTGAATTGAAATTCTTATCTTATATTGTTGACGCATTTACGCAGTTTTGGCTTAAATCACGTCCGAATAGCATGTCTTGTTTTTTTCCGGAAAGCCACTGCCGCTGATGTCATTTCAAGGTACTATTGTCGGCTATGTTTTTCCGAAGCTGCAACCCTAGCGTGAGCAAGCGATGTAGAATATTAAAAATCATCGTAACTTGTCTTTTTTTTATTAGATTCTTGTCTAGTTCTCCGTTAACACGACCGCTCGTCTGGATGCCGAAACACGTTCAAATTACCGTGTGTCCGCATAACCGTTATGCCATGGTCGGTCGATTATCGACCGACAAAAATAGTCTCTTAAGAACGCGAAGTTTCTCCGCGTTGATTGAATAAGCAGTAAGCCAAACACGCTACAAATCTGCTGGCCAAGCACATCTACGAAAAGTACGCGAAGTGTTTCCCGTAACGTAAAGCCGGCATGAGGGTACGTGGCTGACGGTACGTGTCAGTGCGTTTGTAAGAGATATGTCGCTCGACTATGAACACCTCTCGGTACAATAATATCGCAGCGTCAACAACACGAGAGGCAACCAGATGACAAGGGAGTAGGGCAAAGGATACATAACCGCAGTATTTGATGGGGTGGTGGCAAATCGGCATACGGTCCGACGATCCGCCTGCCGCCATAGTGTATGTGCAATGGAAGCCCCAAAAACATACCTCGAAGATAAGCCTGCGTTCAAGTGCTTATGTCTCGATAGGCGAGTCAACACCTACGAACAGCTATTCAACAAGCACACAATAACCGTAATCAATGTCAGCTGAAATCGATTAAAGAATGAGTGTCCAAGAAAGCACAGTTGATTATTGTAACATTGCAGTTTACAATAACTAGGATTTCAGCAGAATAATCTGAACATGAGAACTACGGCGTGAGAAAGAGGCATCTAATTTCATATCCTTCGGCATATTTGATCGCTTAAAGACATTACTTTTATTAAGGAAAAAAAAAAAAAAAACACATTAAAAAAGACGAACAGAAAAAGGGGCAATATTAAGGTAATCATACTAATTGTCAACTGTTTAGAAGTAATGCCTCTAATCGTAAACGTTTATTATGGCAGCGATGATTTCTACCGAGCAACCCGAAAGTGCTATGACCGCTGTTTCCCGTTAATGCGCCATTCGTTCCCCATCGACAGAATAATATAGCTGCAATATTGCATCATTATCATAAGCTATGAGGCGCAGATTTGTAAAACACCGAATCGTTCGACGCAGCATCACTTAGAGACAACTGTATCATATGCTAATAATAATCATTGGAGAATAGAAACATGACGGTATAAATTTAATCGAGTATACTCGAGCTCGAGCGGAATAGAGGAGGACAGACTTTAATCAACGAGGATATTCTGTATATAGTCTAGGTAATAAGTGGCTTCGCCGCAACTCTGTGATGCAGCAGCGGGTAACATGCTATTAATAAATCAATCTATAATTATTATACTTTGGTGAAATTATTACTAATAGTAACAGTATATCACATAGAAAACGTACTCGTGCACGAAAGGACCATTATAGAATTTCAGCTGGCAGAGAATTCACTATGGTCAAACTGCGTAATGCAAACGGCCTTCGGTGGAGCCACTTTGATTGTCAACGATCTAAATGCGATGGGAATTCTACGGAAAGACATGTGAACTAATTTGTGTATGCATCTTGTATCATTTAGACGCAGCGATATTTCATGTAAAAAATAGCATTCTGCCAAAAATACTCGTGAATGCTACTTTCATCGTTTAGAAAAATCAGTGGTAACATTTGCACTGAAATTAGTGTTATCTAGATGTCAAATTTTCACATCCAAGAATTGGCACAATGAAGAATACAGCCATGTAATAGTAAAAATATAAAGAATTCTGATATCCGCATCTCAACACGGATGCGAAACGAACGTTTTATAGGAATGAAACGCATCTCATTATCGTCGACCACCGCACTTTTTAGCAGAAGGCATTAATCTCAATCAAGCATTGTTTTCTAATAGAATAATTTCGAATATTTCTAGGAACGTCTTATTGCAATAGTTCACACTGTTTTTTTCATCATCTTGTCCTCCCTTTCAGTGTCAGCTAGCCAATCAACGCCGGCTGATTAGAGATAAGAGCAGCTGGCTTCAACCGGAACAAAAAACACCATATCCATTATTGTGTGTTTCGTTATTTCGTGATCCACTGGGTAGGTTAGCTGGAGCAGCTGTTGAGCGTAGCTTAGAATCGATGACTTTGGTGGTACGCTAGCATTTTGTTAGTCCTCAAATGAGTTAACGCGTTCCGCACAGAAGTAGCCCGACGAATATTGCTATAATTAGATATTACTAGAAGTATAAAACATCGTACTGATAGGAGGGGTTGTAATCATCTGTGAAACAACACACTGCGATGCTAATCTCCACGCAACAATTCGATGCTCGTACAATTTATCTACTTCCCGCTTTCCCCGTTACCACTTTCTGTACGTGCATTGCGCCCTGCGGAGACACGTACGACGACGACGACGACGACGACGACGGTAATAGTAATAATAAATAAGGAAAACAGTTCTGCTCCATCGTAATTCCGGCCAGTGGCTAACTGGCAAGCGATCAGACCTATGCCTGTCGTAAAGCCGCATTTGTTATTCCCCGCTCGAAAAAGGAGCCAATCGGTGCGATTGTGACTACATCGACAACAGAGAGCCTAATGTTGATTAGGCTACGGCGCATGCTCGATACGGAACGTGGACGTAATGAAAACGATAAGATTAATGTTTTCACTATTTTCATTATTCTAAACACTCGTATTGAAAGAAAGCGTATATTGACTGAGGGCGGATAAAGGAATACCCTATCGAGAATATAGCTGAGCTACAAAAACTACAAAACAAGTTACAGTGATCTACCTGCGACAAAGAACTGCGAGAGTGTTTGTTATCTTCATTCTATTATATCAAAACCTGCATTAAAATAGTCACGAAATTGAACTTATGCTTTATGTCATAAGGAATAACAATTGAAAATTTAACGTAATAGTATAACATCTCTTAAGTGATTCTTTGATGAATTCTTTCATCAAAAACGCTTTTAACTGTTGTCCCGACTCCACGACTGTTCATAAAGCTATTTAAGGTGATCGATTTGCCTGCTAAGCCAGTCTGGAAAAAAAAGACTAAGATGACATCCCCTTAGTGCTTTCACACTTGATTGACGCCACTAAATGATCGGACGGGATTGATTTGTGCTTCTTGGCAAATTTTAAAGTTAATCGAATTATTGTCTGCTTCTCCCATTTCCTCCACATTTCCACTCCAGTCTTACGGCGTTCACACTAAAAGTCTACCTGGGCTATATCTAAAATTATCAATTGGTAGTTAGGATCGTTGTAGGGAACAGTTTAACTTACTACTCAAAAAAAAAAAAGTCTCTCAAGCAAAATAACGTTCAAGCGACAGTTTTTTCGAAGTCCAGTACGGTTTATCCTACTCATCTGAGTGACATGTTAAAGGTCATATTTATATAACTGTAAACCTTTTTGGGCTATCCAATAATGAGCCACAGCGTTGCCTGTCAGGATCAGTTAGTTTTATCTTTGCTGGACTTGCGAACCGTTGGGGTTGCTATTCGACAACACGAGAGCAGTAAATTGTTGAAACGTTGCTGTTTCGGGTTGCAGGTCACAATAATAATTTACATGGCAAATGGGTTTTTGCTCCGTCCTAGTTTATTTTATCAGTTTAATTATTCGCAAGATGTTCAATCTCAATAGGTTACCGAAAGTGTGTTTTGAGTTCTTAAGCTTTATGGAAGCTTTTTATGAAAAAAACATCTTTATAAGAGTATCCTGGGAGTTGTACTCAGTTTGGGACTAGACGGAGGAGCGAACGTTCATGACCTAATGACGGTCGTCCACATCGTCAAACTGAATAGAATTTAGTCAAAGTAACGAGCCACCTAGTAAAAATACATCAAATGACTAATGAAAATGTTCCTCAAGTAAAAGCCGTTACGCACTGAACTGATAGGAAAGTACACGGGTCGACGTGTGCGGATAGAGAAGCTTACTTACCGGATACCATCTCTCAATAGCATTTTGACATGGACGCTGAAAGACGGAGCGACAAACAATAACGGTAGATACGGCGAGTCTAAAACTATTACGATATATAGCGAAAATTCGCTCGCAGATGGTCGATGGCTGTGTGATTCGATTAGGGATTATAGGCATATCAACGATGTCGTGCGGGTGAAAACTCGTTTTGTTTTGTTATTCTGGCCAGCAAAGATCGGCTCACAGCAACGAGTAACTTCAGTTTGTTGCAGGCCGGTCGTCTAGATGCTTCCCTTTCGATCGTCTGGCGTGGGCAATAATGAGAAATGATAAATAACCGAACAGTTTAACAGGTTAACAGAACGGAATCGATAAACTTGTCTTCAAAATCAATGTATCAACTTCCAGAAAGTTAAACTGCTACGCATGTATTGATTCGTAGAAAGAAGTGATGATCTTGACAGTCGCCGTATCGAAACTAGCGCAAATACTTCTCAGTTGAAAATTTCTACACTCGTCAACATAACACGCAGTCAGTCTTCACGTTCAGTATACTTGTTGATAGAAATGTTTATATATATATATATATATTACATGTTTGACTTTGAAAAATATGGCTTGCAATGATCATGGTCGGTTATTGGTGACCATTGCAGAAGCGCCCTAAAAAATGTCTATTGCATTGTCCACGAAGCTGATCATCACACTCAGTCTTCTGTGATTATTCGTACACATATTTAGAAATTCATCGTTCGTTGGGTAGATAGATTGACACAAACGTTTAAATAGTCGATAAAATAAAATAATCGAGTATACGTATCTAACGAGCTACATGTGGTCAGACAAACTTACCAGCCTGCCCGTGACAACTGAGCACTTCAGCTCAAAACTGGGTTAGGTAGTGAAACAGATGAATATGTTCGGCCACCAGCGAACCGCATAGGCTATATTCTAATTCAGCCCATTTTGTACATTTTCTATGTGTTATTATAATAAGTCATTTTTTCATATTTCCTTTTACAAGTACGCTACTGCTACGCTTTCATGGCGACGTCCCTAGCAAGTTGAAGAAAATGCTTACAGAGTACAACGTCCAAAATTTGTCTTCAAACTAAATTTGCGTATAAATATATATAGCGTGAACGGATTCAGCACACGATTTTTAATCGGTACTACAAAACGCTACAAACGATTACTTCAGACGCTCGGCGCCATGTTATTCTCCAGCATTTACGCAAGATAATTTAACCCCACACAAATCCGTTAAGTAAGCTCATCTAGCCAATTACGCCGATGTTTCTTTAGTTCACTTGGCGTGTTTCCATCATCAAACTTATTTCAGATGGTCGGTTAAACAGTGCAATACGCCCATCATAGCTAAGGTCCTTGCACAATCTGTCGCATATTAAAATGCTTTTCGCTAACTTTGGGTCTGTACCAACAAAATGGCCCACCTGTATAGCGAACATTTTAGCTTTGTCGTCAGCGTGAAGTCTATCCATTCTATAACACTTGTACGCGTTACGTTATGAATACAATATGTCGGCGCTTTTTACAGGTGCGCAGAGGGAGACTATACGTCTAAGTGGACTAGTTGGATAGCCGTTTACTCAACACGGTGAGCTCTTATTGTTATCTCTTCGCTGCGCTGTTGTGGATAGCAAAACGATGATCCATTTTAGGTTGAAAAAAGACTTTATTAGGACAAGTTTAACTGCAACAAAGAGAAAATGTCAGCGGCATTTAGTCAGACATTTTTATTGCTTGTAGCGAATAGGGATTATTTGGGTATCCTATTGTTTCTGAAGACTTATTGAACAGAAAGAACAGGCCAATTATTGAATTCGTGTCAATTTCAGATGATATTTCTATAAATGTTCTGTATCTTAACATTACGTATTAGTAAGTGAAAGTGGTTGGGGTACGAGTGGCACCGAGCCAAA